ATGAATTTCTTTCTTCTGATTGGCTGCTGTTCATAAACAACAGGTGGGTGGGGATTCTGCACTCACAGAGAGCTGTGTGCCAGAGTGCTTTGTCACCTGTGACATTGTACAGGCAAAAATATCTGCCATTTAGAGCAGCGATAAGCCTGTTTTTTGTCTCACAGTGCACCATTTAAAACTGAATATGAGGATTCATCATTTTAGCATAATTATATGACAGAATATGAAGAAAAAAAGCATAGTAGTTTCCCTTTAAAGATGTAAACTAGAATAAATTAAAATGATATGCAGATCCAGTGCAGGGACACAAAGGTTTTGAAATTGGGAACGATTTTAATGCAATGTTACATCATCTAGAAAGGTTTAGCAGTTGTCATGCTTTGGCTCATGTCCAGCAGCCGCAGTGCTCGAAATTGGACTGTGCAGCAACGTCAGAAAGCTAAAAGGAAGTTTGAGGTAAAGTTGAGAAAGGAGGAGGGTACTGATGGAACGATAGAAGGAGACATGCATGCAGAGACCTGTCTGGCTCTGAGATTGGTCTTATTTCAGGACTGCAAACTGGAACATTGCACCATATCTGGCCACTTCTAACGTCATCTGTGTGCAAAGGTTTTCTCCAATGGCATACAGTTGCACTGAAGTGGGGTGAGAGGTCATGGCTGTCTTAATGATCCCTCTGTAACAATGCAACTATCCAAACTTGCCCTCCTCCTGTCACCGAGGCTCACGTGATTCTTTAACGCCCTGCTCCATCTCCCCTGCGGGTCATCCGTTGGCCCCCCAGTCGAAGCAGAGCACGAAGCTGCACAGCGACTGGACTTCAGTGGACACGTATTGAAAAGATGCGATGTGCACTGGGTGATGTTAATTGTTGTGACGGCTGCAGACTGGCTAGATAAACAGTGAGGGGCCCGCAGAAGGCAGAAAAGATTTTAGCGTGAAGTTGAAGTGGAATTTGATAAGGTGGTGTGCTTGGGGTTTTTTCTTCTTCTTTGTTCAGTGTATTGTACTAACACGGGAGACAAGGGACCCAGTGCTGCCTTCATCGTGTACAGCTGTATTTTATTCATGTATTTGAATTGTGCACCATCATCTGCCGTGGTTTTTCATGGCTTTTTACTCATGTTGTTACTTTCTTATGCCTTTTAAAAAAAATTGCAGTGCTGTTAATATTAACATATTACAATGCTCACAGTCAGTCCAGACTGATTATTTAAATGGATTGATCTATCAAAGTATGAGGCGCTAGAAATCTGTTTTTGGTGCTTTTCTTGATTGACTGCTAAATATTATACATATTTTTGCATCAATGAAATCTAATAGAATATAAAGTCTTCCTCTTTTTGTGTTTTAATCCATATCATTGCCTTCTTTTCTAATCATGGAGATACTACAGGTCCTACTGTACTTTATTAAAAAATATTTTTGCATCTTTACTTCATCTTTCCTAGTCTTCTGTGGCTCACTGTGATGTTTTAGCAGGTGTATGATGTGTACACTGTATGCAGTGCATATTTTAGCTGTTTATTTGTTGAGTGTGTAGCCCACATTCCTGCCCTGCAGGGCCCTGCTAGGCCATCCAGCAGTGCATGTTGGAAGACCCTCCTGATCCTCAGGTGGCGATATTGAAAACCACCCAACATCGATGGAAACATGATTGTAGTTAGACTGATGTTAATAAATGATGTAAAATAATAAAGTATCATGTGATGTAAAAATGCTTCCTGTGCTATCTTTTTATTATTATTATCTTATTTTATGATTTTATTTGTTTTTCTTAAGTCAGCTGCATACTAAACA